ATATATATATTGAAGGAATTCAAATCACCAGAAGTTGAGAATGGAGCAGCTCATTATTTGAGTAGAAGGCTTCAAACCAAGCAGCAAATCCAGTATCGGGTGAGTTCTTCAAGGCAGTATATGATATCAGATAGAAATCAGGAACTACGAATACCAGTGAGTTCTAACGTATTGATTTGGAGACACAAGGCAGGCGTACAGAGTATAAATTCTCCTTATCCCAACCCAAAAAAAGAGATACAAAGGACCCGCAACCGCCGACAGGGACAAGCGGAAAGAGAAGCAAGCAGGTATGAGCACAGGAGTGCAGGCGATCATACAAATACATGATTACATACTTATGTGATCTAGTATTGATACTGCAACCAGAATGCTCTGTAGGAAGCTCTCATGTGTTGCTTCTCGGATGGACGTTGAACACGCTGTCAATTACCTTCAATTCTCTATCAGAGACTCAAGAAAATCTCTGGAGATAACAATGATACTCCTTCTGATTCCGGGGAAAGTGGTCCACAGTATGTAACTCGTTGTCAAGGGAAAGTGTAAGGCTGTCGGATTGGCGAAGAATAAAATGTCAGGCTTGTAGTAACATATTTTCGGGTGGTCCAGTTTCCTTCCTCAGTGTATGTGGAGGTTTTGGGATACTCGAGCTGAAAGAAGGAGAAGAATCAAGTCTGATGATGGCTTTCGCTGACGAAATCATGACACGGAGTCATGAGTGGATATAATATGAGTACTTCTGTGGTTAATTTGACATTGGTATGTTGGATTAGGGTCGATTAAATACTTCGGAAGCAGCCGTTAGTGTATCAGCGGGTTTTGGAGCTGGGAGACATAGAAGAGGGGAAGTCGAGACTAGATCACCTCATGACAAGTTTGAAGCCATATCATAATGTTCTGTTAACTGGTACGAGCCCTTATCACTTCGAAAGGCTTATTTCTTCAGCTAAAAGCTGCATGTGCAAGCCACCAGTGAGCTTGGGCACACAATAACTCTAAGAAGAAGACATATGGTGATCATTGATATGTTGATCATTGGCAAGTAATAAGAACACGTCGAGTGCTCTCTGATACGATTTTTATTACGAAACAGCATATTGACACTCATCTCACAACTACATATACGCCAGGATATCTTAAAATCCTCCCCTTCCGATGTAGGGCACTTCCCGTCCTCCTTTCCAAATGTTCCGTGCCTGTCTACCCTGAATCATGCAGTACACAAGTATAGTGCTCACATTACACGGCATTTCACCCACTTTAGACCGCTTAATCCTTTCCGAGCCGGCGCCATAACCTCCAGATATGATTGTGGTGATATATTATCAAATAAATGACAAAGGTGTATAGTCTCTCATCCATAAGAGAAATTGGGCGATTGGTTTAGTGGTATAATACCTCTTTGTATGTCTGCCATTGGCCTATCTGTGGGAGTAAGTACTAATCATCAACAGAGCATATAATGAAGCACTCGTTCATATGTAGAGGTGGTCCAGGGTTCGATTCCCTGATCGTCCATCACTTCCTGATCACATACACAATTTTTTTAATTTCCTTTTCGTATTGATACATAGACTAACCCATTTTATCTCTGTTATTCTTTAACTTTATTTTGCATTATTTCTAACCTATGTATCCGCCCATTTCCTCTCTGTTATTAAAACACGATTTTATTCTTCGCATGTGTGAGGAGAGGGATATCAGGGCTCGCTTAGCCGAGCTTAAGAAAACCTAAATTGCAACCCCACCTGCGAATTTGTCTGATGAGATTTCTTCCGCCTTACTATCATCAACTTGTACTACTTTCGGGGATTACTCAAATCGTAGAGAGGCAAGCTCTAGATCATCTCATCTGCAAATTTTGAAATCGAGTAGCAAACGTCGAGCTGAAGAATATTCGTAAAAGAATGGCAGTTCCGAGCAACTACCTATGCGAAGTGTCCGTGGTATGATGCAACAGCCGGCTTATTCCCGAGCTTTTTGGAGGTGGTCCGGCAATTAGTTGCTACACTGTTGGCAACCAAGGGTTGCCTTAAACAGTCGTCAAGGTCGTCATGTTTGGCGACTATTATCTTGATCTTGATCATACAGTAACTGGTAAATGATACAAGAATATTTGAGCTGCTATCACGTCTGCGCTTGCCGTGACTAGGCACATTGGTCTCCGGCCAAGCGACTTGGGAACTTCGTCTTATTGTCAACGAGTAAAGTCATCAATGATTTTGACATTAACTTTCAATTTCAGGCAATATCCCATAATACTTTCGCAATTTCAACGCTGCTTTGTCATCATTACCTATATGTTTTGGTCCTTGGTCAATCACCGACCACTGCTGTTGGCCCAACGCCCTTTCCCACCAAAAGTCACTTGTATTACCAGCCTGCATCACAACACTCGCCGGCTAATAATGGAACCATTTATTATTCTCTCCTAGAAATCTTTAGTCGTGGTAACTCTATCGATTTGAGAACAAATCGAGATAAGGAGTCGTAGAGCTATAGGGCATCTAAAACAAGGAAACCGCTGAATTCTGGTTTCGCTAATAAATTAAGCGAATATCGCCCTAAGATTCCTAACCTTTCATTCGATCAGTAATGTATTAATAGACGTATACACTCTAAGGATCACCAGAATATATGTATGTGAGGTAACTGCTTCGAGGCTATAATGTGATATAATCATTTGTTCACGCGATGTGTAGTTGTATCAATCTCTTCAAGTGTTGAGACGACAGCAGTGGTTTGTAGTCCCAGCAAGGTCATGCTTCGCTGGTGAAGAATTAGATTCGCCTTATGCTGTCAACATACTCTCCCTCGTAATCTTCTAGAAATCATCTCAGATTCGGTCCTCCCAAAATTCTGCTGCGAAACAAACACCAGTATACCATAATCTAGAAGGATGTCATGACTCACATCACCAACCTCGACGGTTCGATCACCTACTGCTTAGGCTTATTGTATATGGCCTGACGAAGGTGAATCGGATATTTGGAAGCAATCGAGCCAGCTGGTGAAAGTCACTGTATTATGTCTCCGTTGTTTGCCGTCTATAAGCTGTACCGAGTACAAGTGTAGCAAATCTCAATTCTTCATACCGTACAGCTCATAGCGAGCAATCTTATTCTGCCATACTGAACTATCTCTTCTTCAGCGTCCAAGAGGTTGAATGAATATTTCACTAAATGTCCTCATTCTGCTACCTACTATCTTACCAAACCCTAAGATCAAAGCATGCAATCCTTGAATCTCCTAGTCTAAAATCCGGGCCAGGAGAAGTGGTGATAAGGAGGTATCAAAGCCGCACAATATCTGCGTTAAAAACGTCAAAGCCTCTGGTACTAAGCTGCGATCTTATTGAGGACCTCAGTGTTCACTTGACTATTGTCGAGGGAGAAATATTATAGGGTCCTACCCGCCTTGTCTAGATACAATCATGATGTAATAGGGAAATTCTCCCTTTGTGAATAGATAACGTGCTGACGAATAAGAAATTCCCAGCGCCATAGTATTGACAACTGTTGTCATTCACTTCTTCATTGCCATTTCAACATGTTTTTTACTCACTTTCCCTTGATGTCGATTACAGTCCCAGCATAGCGGCATATCCATCCCGAGCAGTTCTCAATGCTACAGTTCATCCTTTTGCCTCCAGTCCAAATCCTAACCCCTCTCTATAGTTTCATAGGATATGAATATATAACTCCCTTAACCTAGCCTAATCTTGACGAGTTAATGCAGATTATCTGAAATTAGCTTACTATTCTTCTGTTCTTTATACACGTGCACCCAGAGAATAAGGAATGAAAAGTCTCGACTATATCGTAGTGAAAAGTGGAAGCTTGGTCGGAACCTGGGCACGATTTCAGGGGAGGCTGATAGGCAATGCCAAATCGGAGGAAATTAATGAGTTTATGGGTGAGTTTCAATACGAGTAGATGAGAATAATATATGGACGCTAAGTATTGGTAGAACCATACTTCTTGCTCTCTCCACTTAGCACGATCTATTGCCTCGAACTTGAGGGCAAATTTGTCAGCTCCAGGCAATCTGCTTCCCATCCATCTTGATAATTCATTGAGCTCCAACAAGCCTCCTCCACCTATCCCGTCAAAAGAAGTATAAAAGCTCAGCTCACCAACATCCAGTATATGACAAACAACGGAAAAATTGCACTAAGGCCTTCCTTCGTCTGTTAGAACTGCCCTTCAGTCCTCGAACTATGAACACAAAGTCCACGATTCTATATCAATCTTCAAAAAGGAAGAAAATTGTTCCGGAAAACCCGCTTCCCTACTTGCAAGCAAGAATGATATCCTCACTCCCTTCCTCGCCAGGAAGAAAAAAGAAGGGGGAAAGACGACGATGTTCCGGAATCGATGATACTGGTCATGAAAATTTCACTGGACATTATCTAAAATAATAGATGGGTGTTGAAAGTCGCCTGAACTTATAACTTATGATGACTGCACTAAAAAATTTGATTTGCACACATACTCTCTCTCTTTCTCTCTCTATGACGTTCAAATCGCTCCACCCAAGACGGTTTGAATAATGTGCCTAGCCTAGTCTCGTATTCTCCATCACCTATCTACTAACCCATCCACCATCGAAGCAACCTCCCTCCCTCCTTTTTCCATACACACAAACCCGCTCCCCCTTATTATTTACTCCTCACAACGTACCACCACAAATATCCCAAATCAAGCAACACCCACTCCCAGAATTTGCTTCACTACCATCCCAAACCTCTTCCAATATTGCCCCCCTCCCCCCTCTCAAAACCAAGAACCCATCAAAAGACAAGAGAAATCACGAAACCCCCACTCTCACTCATCCCAGTGCAGTATCTGTCTTTCATTACAATACTCCGAAAAAACTCCTTCCCTACCACCCTACCTATACCCCGAAGCTTCTCCCTTCGTCATAACCCTGCCTACACAAACCTTGAAGTATCAGATATCTTCTCTCTTCCACAGTTCATTTCCTTCCCAAGCCTTTCTGCACGTTATAGAGAGAAGAAAAGGCATCGATGTATCATCTGCGGCCACTCACGGTACAAGCATATTCCGAACGTTCTTGCGTAACATCCTCCTCACCCTCAATCTGTCAGAGAACGAAGAAAACAAGAGAAAGGTCATCGAGAAAGAAAAAGCCAGAGTGGCGAGTGCCATGAGCTCGTCAACTTACCTTCATACCTACCTCCATCAAGCAAGCAAGCATGACCGACTAACTTATTTTAGACCAACAAATCTCGTCTTTCTTGCCCTATATTTTTTTATATTTTCCTTCCTCGACCAATAATCGACCTTGTGTGTGATCTCTCCTTGAATCCCAAATACACCTGTATACCTACCCACTAACCTAACAATCTACTCACCCATCTACCTAGCCAGTTCTTCGCCGCTGGTCCAGAGATGAGTGAAATTCAAAAGACCCTCCCTTCCTCCCTCCCTGGCTCAGTAGCGAGGACTCGAATACTTGGATCGATCGATCCACTTCCTTCCTTCCCTCCTTCCTTCCCCTCCTTTCCCTGCAGTGAGGAGAGAGAAGCCAGAGACGCATGTTGTATATGGATTATACACTTCAAAGTTGAACCGACCTGGTTAGACACACTTACGATATCAAGAGAAGGAAGGAAGGAAGGGAGACATCTAACTGCTATCTCCTTCCTATGCGAAGAAAGACAGACCATAATCGTACAGGAAGATTTTCAAGGAGGTCTTTTGATTTCGATGACTGGATTGGAGTACTTGATTGGCTTTATAGAAAAACACATAGAAAATCCGACTATTCATTCTCTTCTCTAGCACCTCTATACAGCTGTGTGGGTGTCTCTGCTTCTTCCATGCTCGGTTCTAACTATTTGGCCATCCATCAACGTATAAACATCCACGCCTTTCCAAGCAATTGAACTGAGGCAAACTCCCCATTATCTCGGTTCATTAACGATTATCAATTACCCCATTCCGCTCTCTTTACTCCTTGTTGGGCACCAAAGGAAAACATAGAACCTAGTCTATAAGCGAATGAGGTACCGTAGTATTTGAACGCCTGCCAATGCAGAATCGCATAGCAACGCAAGAGACGACACAGAGCATGAATCGAAGGAATGAGAATAAAATGAAATTGGTTCTCTCTCTCTAATCTTCCCTTCCACGCCAACCAAACAAATAAAGTACTAGAATAGGCAACGTTGGCAGCAGTAAAGGGTATTTTGCGCGTGCGCATGTGCCGCTTGAAAAAGGACAAACATGGATATAACAACCCTCGAGAGGTAAACAAGGCAGCGCAGAGCAGGTAGGTAATGTACAGAAGTTGGCCGGTTCATCATGGCATCCGAGCCATGTGTCTTACAACCTCAATCGCAATACAAGGCTGATCAAGATACAAAGCCGAAAGGGGTGTCGTGATACATCACCTGAGTGGCTGCTTGACATCTTGAACACCATTTGCGATAACCTCTCTCAAAGACCAACGAGGTGGTGTGACCACGCCTTGTAAACCATTTGCTTTGCGCC